GATAAAAACCATAACATTGTGGACGAAAATGTATACCATGAAATCATAATTATGGGTATAAATGTCTTTTTCATTATGTGAACAGTAATAAATGACATTTTTCGAATATTTTTTCAAATAAATGGTATTTTTGGCAAAAATATGAAACCATATATTCATTTACAAAACATTTAAAAAATAAATTAATATTCTTACAATCTTACTAGCCTCCTTTCTTACTTTTGATCAAAATGTGAAATTTCATTAAACCGAGATTAAACCGGATTTGTCAATTACATTGGAAATTGCTGATTTGGCAAAACCATCGGCTTCAGAGTTATTTTTCCTTTGAACATACTCAAAAGACAATTTTAAATTGATCGATAGCTGATAGATATCATGATTTCGAAAATCTCTAGGTTTTGGTTCTTGGCTCTGATCAGATTGATTAGTACATGTGAATAAGAGGCTATTCGAACGGAGGTTGATCACATGGTTCCTGCATGTATCAGAGTTTCCCGGATGGCTAAGGATTCTGCCATTAGAGGAGATGTGATGTTAGCTTTTACTGTGGATCATGTATGGACGATTCAATCTGCTTGGTTGCGAAATAGCCAACCTAGACCGGCTAACTTGGAGTTTGCACGCCAAGTCACAACTGTGAAGCATTGAAGGGTTGTCGAATCCGAAGTCAAGAGTCTTAGATCTGGATTGGGGTCCTGATTGTTGGGTTCTGAAGCTTGTCCCATGATCCATTCTCGCGTATCACAGATGGTTTTGTGAATCGTATCTTCGATAGTGAAAACACGGTTGCTGAAGATCTGATTATATTTTGCCTGCCAGAGATTCTAGCATATCCAAATTATAAGGGACCAGGCCTAATGCTTGTTGGAAGGAGGCAAACCAGAAGCTTTGAAGTGTTTTTTTACTAGCATCCTTGCCACATCAAACTAATGGTAACACAAAATTGTTGTAACACTAATTTTTATGTTTTATACTATCAACATCAGACCTTCTTTCTTTACTGTTATATTTTTACCATATAATACACACAAGAGACGATACATATTATACCGAAACAATACGAGACTACAAGTAACCAATCAGATTCAGTTATAAACAATGCATAGTATCAATTTGGATGTCAAAAATTTCAAACGGTGTGTAACAAAAAGAGATTACATAGAGATTGATTGATAATAGAACTAAAGTCAAGAACATATATAATGAAAGGACAGAAAAAGGTTTAAACATTACACAAAAGAGGAAAAAGTCATACGAATATTAGCACGCCAATGTCTCTCTTTTTTCATATAAACTAAGTTACTTTTTTTGTTCTTCCTTATTTTCGAATTACAATTAGGAAATTAACACAAGTGTGTAATCATGAACATCATCTTCCCATGCCTCCATCATCATTGAACCAATTTTCTCCTCCACTAGACCTATCAATTGCTTTTATGTAATTATGTTGATACCACACAACAACAAAAAAAAAGCATTTAAATCTCTACGTTAAAACGGTCATATATGCTTTTTTTATATTTTATTTTATGTCTTCTAAAAAAGGTGAAAAGAGAAATCTGATAAATGCAGTCAGTGTAAGTGTTTATAATGTCTGTCCCCAAAACACATCCCCACAAAGTAAAACCTCAATTATCAAAA